AGGTATACAAATGAATAATCCAATTTTTCTGCTTCATTCAAGGTTTATTTTAAAAGTTACTAAATTGAATTGTTCAATCAAAGTAGTCGCCATTTCTTTCTATAACTTTAAGCCATCTTTCTGGTAGCTGATGAATTCCATCTCGGAAGAATGATACGTCTTTAGACGCGATGAAGTCGTCAAGGCATTTTCGGATCTCATCCACTAATTAGAAGTGTATATCAGATAAGGCGTGTTGCATCGACCGGAATAGGTGATAATCTGACGGAGCAGTGTCCGGTGAATATGCCGGGTGCTGCAAAACATCCCATCCAAGACTCATTATGACATCTTTTGTATTGGAAGCAATATGTGGCCTCGCGTTGTCGTGCAACAGTTTCACTGGTCGTTCTCCTTTGCCAGTATACGGTCGTTTTCTTTCCAATGCTTGACTCAAGCAGATTAATTGTCGCTGGTAGCAATCTGCAGTAACTGTTTCACCTGGTTCTAACAACTCATAGTAAAGCACGCCCTTGATATCCCACCAAATGCATTAATTTTATAACAGCTTAAAATAATTTGGATTATTCATTTGTACACCTAATACATATATGTAATGTCGTAGGAGTTCGTCTATAATTGTTGTAGTGCTAATCTCTTTTATTGGAATTAATACTAAGTACTTCGTCAGTACGTCTTGTATTGAGAGGATGTATTTGTTGTCTCTGTTGGTAGGTGTTAGCGGTCCAAGTATGTCTATTGCGATTTTGTCGTTTGGTTCGTGAGGTGTATCGGGGATAACGGTTTGCTCTTTTCCGCGGATCCTAATTAATTTTTCGCGGAAAAAATCTAACTTAATCGCGAATTTAAATCTAACGCGGAGAAGAATTTAGATTTATCTAGGTGGTCTAAAATTTCGTCTATGGGTGGTAAGGGGTAGGCGTCTTGGACTGTTTCTTGATTTAAGCGTCTGAAGTCGATAACTAATCTCCACTTACGTTTCCCTGGATCATCCGACTTCTTTGGCACAACCCAAATTGGCGAATTATACGGTGAATCTGATTCTTCTATAATTCCCTGATCTAACATTTTCTCTACCTGCCTGTCTATTTCCTCCTTGTGTACCTCGTGTGGTCTGTATGATTTAATGTTTATGGGTCGTAATGTTTTTAATTCTATGACATGCTTAGTCAAATTAGTGCACGGTAAATCCTCATCGTCAAAAGAAAAGACATCATTATATGAAACTATCACCTTTTCTATACTCACCTTTAATGACAGATCAACGTGTTCTAAACTAATTTTGTTCTTTAGAGTTTCGACTCTTTGTGCTATGGAGGGATTCAATTCATGGATGGGGTAGATGAGGGTTTCGTTAGTGGGGTTGTATATGTGTACTAGGTAAAGGTGTTCATTAATAGGAATTTCTGTGGTATGGATTTTGTTAGGTGGAATAAAGATTTCTGTCTCGTGCTCTATGCTCCTTCCGTCTAATATTAGATTGATGTTAGTTATGGAATATTGGTATTTCTCCAGGAAAGGAAGTCCGATTATGCCATCTTCTAATAATGGAAAATTATCTGATACTACAAAAAATTCGTGTTCCCTATTAAAATAGTTTATCCTAATTTTTCCTTTACTAATATGCCTGTCATTACCCATTAAAAATGTCCGTTCTTCGTTCACAATTGGGCGGCGCGTACCACCGGTGGTACGCATTCGATTGTGCTATTAGACACTGAAAATTAAAATAATGAAAATTTAACGTATTTTCATTAAAAACATTTATTTTTAATTACAATTATAATTAATAACATATTATAAACATAATTTTTGTTCAATAACATAAACATAATAATACAGTATTATCAATATAACTCAAATTCTACAAAATTAACATAATTATTCAACATTGCTCTATTTACAACATCATTATTTATTATTTTTTGTGTAATTTGTTAAAACATTTCAAGCAAAGTGCTGGCTGACCCTTGCAATGCCCACAATACGTCTTAACTCTTGTAGTTTTGTTAGTGGCATAATCTCTGCCCTTTTTCCTGGACAAATTTTTATAGCATTCCTTGCAGCGTTTACGGGACTCTCTTGCAGATTCCTCATGTGATTGAAGAACATGTTTATTTGACGGTATATGATAGTATATTTGTTCTTTGGCCAAAAGGTGATCAATAATAACTTCCCTAAATTGTAACATATTCATATTTTTAGTGCCCCATCTTTTATGAATATACCAGGCATTCACGAGCGAAGTTCCGCATATTAATTGTATTACTACTTTTCGATACCATTTAATGGTTTTTCGTAAACAACTGTAATATCCCGATAGTTGATCTGATAAATCAACACCTTTTTTTGCAATATTATAATCAAACACAGCATCGGGCTTTACTTTGCCATTTGTTCCTTGCACAAATTTACACCGGTGATTCTTTGAGGTAGTTAACATGCATACTGGTCTTTTGTCAGTCCATTTCAGAAATTTTACACCGCTACGATTTTCGAAACTCATCATTTCACCACGTTTTTGTTTTTTTTTGCCTGCGGTGGTAGAAATTTTTTGTTTATTTTTACAGTACCACACATAAATGTATTGTTCTCTAAAAGTTCTTCGCCCAAAGGGACACTTGTATAATAATTATCAATAAATAGTACGCGGCCCTCAAATAATAAGCCACGTAATAATCTCATTACTATATCATGTGAATGTGATTTTTCAATGATCGTTCCATTTTTCCCAGCATAAATTTCGATATTATAAGTGTAGCCTTCAGGCAAACACAATTTGTATAATTTTACGCCATACTTATGTCGCTTGCCTGGGATGTACTGACGAAAACCTAGACGTCCTCTCCACGGAACCATACTTTCATCGATAACGATATTTTTGCCAGGTTTAATAGATCTCTTGAAGGTATTCACAATTGCTTCAATAATGTTTCGAATTTTGTACAACCGATCTTCAGTTCTGGCTGTAGTATTTTCCGAAAAATGTAAAAACTTAAGAATAGATAAGAAACGATCACGTCTCATTGCATTTTTTATGCGTGCGTTCGCATACATATCGTTATTAGACCAATATAATCTAACTTCTGGTAATCGCACTACACCCATAACAAGCAATATTCCAATAAAAGTATTCACTTCATCTCTTGTAACAGACTGCCAGGCCTGTTGGTGCATTCTACTGCTAGATGAAGAATTATTTATACATTCTGTAGCATATTTATTTGTTTCTTCAACTATCAAATCTAGTATGTAATCCGTGAAGAATAATTTGTATAAAGCAAAAGGGTCATTACAGTCTGTGTTTTCATCCAAAAATTCCTCTTCTTCCGAATATTCCAAAAATTCCTCTTCTTCCGAATACTAATTTATTACTGAAGTTCTTTCTTTTACTTCCTGCCATTCTTCATCGCTATCCTCATTCTCTGATTTAGACACCAAATCTTCTTCTTCCGTGGAACATTCGTTCACTTCACTGTTTACATTAACAAAATCTTCGTCTGAAGAAAAAGAAAGTATCCGTAATCTTGATGCCTTTCTCCTGCTTCTATTTATAAATTCATCAGAATCACTTATTTCCATATCCATATTACCTATTTTTTATAAGGGCAAAAATAAAAAAAAAATTCTAACCACCTTTCTAGTTATACTTATTGGCAGAAATCTGTGGTCAGGATGAAAAAACGGCACGAATTACACAACTTGCACAATAAGAACTCACTGCACTACTGAGCAAACGTACAACGCGTATGCAGGTTTGAACAGGCAAAAATTGCGCGCCGCCAGATGAAGCGCGCCATGAATTTAAGCGCCGCCTCACAGCAAAACAAATGAAAATTGGCCCCGGCGTGAACGTGTTAAACATTTTGTGCCACTCAAAAACTCTTGTATGGCTTAAGGCATCATCCTTATAAGCCTGTTTAATGAGTTCAAGGGTCTCCGACGCGGATTTCCCGAGTTTAAAGCAAAACTTTACAGCGTAGCATTGCTCGGCGGTGCGCTCCATGCTGACGCGACGACACCAAAAAAAATCACAAGTCACAAAAATCCACTTCCTGTCTCAACGCATGCCCACAGGTGACTGAACTAAAGTGCACCTGAGTGGTGAGGGACCCTTCTAACGGGCCGACGCATAGTGTGTCGTTTGGCCAATCTAGTGGGACAAAAATCCTACTTCAAAGAAATACTGATTATTTTTCGTTTTATTGGTTTTTTATTAAACAAAAACATGATATTTCATTAAACATTAATGATTATATATATTTGCTAAATTATTTAACAGTTAAATGAACATATCAATAAAATAAACATATAGTAATTCTCTTTTTCTTTTGTTCTATACTACATTTTGTATAATGCATCATTTTTTGGTTGAAGTATATTTTATAGAGTTATATTTGTCATAAAATTTATGTTTTCAGCGCATTGAATAAATATGGCAGCGTGTACCACTGGTGGTACACATGGCACGGAACGTAATGGTTCTTCCAAGAATTGTTGTATTTCTATTATTATATTTTTCCTGACTCGTCTTCCGAGGAACTGGGATCGATTAATGGTTCTCCCAAGGATTGTTGTATTTCTATTATTATATTTTTCCGGACAGTTTGGAGAAGTTCGTAAATGTGAAATAAGCGGATCTAAAGAAATTAATAATCTGTTTAATAAATCCCTGTTCGTATCCATTCTTGAAGCTTTTCCGTTTTAACAAGAAGCGCATGCGTCAGCGCGATATGTCTAAATAAAAATGATAGATGTCAATGTTTGTCTGTAATGCCCTTTCAGGTTTATATTGCTTATAAGTCTAGCTTTCGACACAAGAAGTGGGAACGTTGTATAAAGTAGTATACTGTGTTAAAAGTCTACCTATATTGTGAAATAGAATTTAAATTTTAAATTCTGTCAACGCTTGTCTACCAATTATCTATGCAGATAGTGTGGCTTTTGCCTAAAATATCTTGACGAAGAGCCATTACAATGCAGTTGCAGTCGGGGCTGCAGGAAGGGTGCTTGAGGAAAGTGATGTTATTCTCCAGCAGGGCAGCACGCGTGATCCTGGTGGTGTGTGGCGCAGCGTTATCCTGCTGGAAAACGAAGGCGGGATTGTACTCTTCCCGGACCGGCACGACGTGCGGTACCAGCACCTCGTCGATGTAGCGACGGGCCGTCATGCCAGGCGGCGGAATTTCGACGAGAGCTATCTTCTTATTAAACATTGCTACGTGGTATGTCGCGGCTAGCTCGATGGTGGCCCGCGACCCCGCCCCGCCCGCGAATTCTCGAAACGGCCCTTTCGACCTGATCCGCCGCGACCCCGCCTCGCCCGCGAATTCTCGAAACGGCCCTTTCGATCTGATCCGCGACTACGACCGTCACGGCGCCTCCGCGGATTCACGGACGAGTAGCACTTCGACGCCCGATTCGAATCTGTTCAATACCGCATTAATTTATTAATTAATTGGGCGCCAGACGCGTCTCCGCGTCGCGATAAGGAACTTTAACGCGAGTGACTCGAATCGGCGGCGGAACGGCTCGGCAGCTCAGTATCCGTACGCGATGGTAGAGTGGCGTGATTCTTACAGGGTAAGGAGACTAGACGCGGAGGCGGATTTGATAGAATATTTCGGGATAATTCGCAAGAGACCTCGAGTCAGCAGTATTTAGTAAAAGCAGCGCTGTTTATTGTAAATCTAATTAATCTGGGCGATGAACAGTATAATCCCGTACCGACAACCAGTTCGCTCGTGATTGCTTAGCGACTGACCGATGTCCGAAAATCCCGTGATTCTAATCCCGTGAACGGGATCTAATGCCAATTCCTAAGCACGATACAGTCGTCGATTTACGGGACAATACGCGACGCAATTATCTCTACGCAACTCTAATGACTAACGAAACGCGACGCAACTATTCTACCGCAATATAACGCGACGAAACGCAAAGATTCTAACGCAATATAACGTAACGAAACGCAATTATCCTAAACGCACGAAATCTAACGCAATTAACTAAACGCGACGCGATTTATTCTTATACGCGAATTGATTCTGCATCGACGACCGTCTAGAGAGAGAAGGCGAGAACTAGCGCGATAACTACGCAAACAAACTACGAAATGTCCGATACGACAAAACATGCACTTTCCGATCTGCTCCCGCGTAAATGAGAATTCGAAATCGAGACGTGGGTGGGCATAAAATTTGCAACGCTTTCGCGAGACTAAGAACTAAATTGTGGCTAACGCGGTACCAATCCCCCGGTCCGTTTCAGTAACCTGCCGAGTGTGGCTTATGGGAAGATCGGTATAGGAAGATCGATATAAGCGGCTTATAGTATCTCACGATACTTCCGGATTTTCCGCAATTACTTAACCTAATTACTAACTAACGATCAATGCCGACACACCGACCACATTTTGCAGCACGCTCAATGCCGACACCCCGGCCACATTTCGCAGAATCGGCCAGTGATTGGCACACTCGATGATCGACAACCCACGGTACGTTATTCCCGATTTCGAATTCTTTACAACGATAGAAGGTGAGGGGCTTACCGAGATGTCCGATACGAGCGGTGGTCTCGTTTTGGGCTGCAGCGTTAGGCGGAATCGAAATTTAGACTACTGTTACAGATACCTGAGAGCACAGGGCAGATGCCGAATACAGAATGCTAAACCGCGTGCCCTTATGCCGGTATTCGGACACCTCGTGATCACCCCACCCCAGGCCGAAGTTTCCGTCTTCTCGCGAAGGCATCTTCGGCAGGACCTCCTCTTGCTCCGCGACCTCTCTTCCTCTATCGCAGGTCCTTAGCGGGGAAGCGGCAGGGTAGCGGAACCTTCCTTAGGCGTGCGTCACTCTCTCGTAGACCTTCCTCCCCTTAGTCCGCTGCCTCTCTTGGTCTATTGCTGGATCCGAGCGGGGTAGCGGCAGGGTAGCGGTGCGTTCCCTCGACGTACGGTGTTCCTTCGCTGGATGATGACGTCGTTATCCGATGGTACACACAAAATAAAGCGGCGACAGATTCCGATCGTACGATACTATATTATATGCGCTTCGTTCTCTCTCTAGACGGTATTAGCCCCTACTGCAATGACTGTCCGGTCTCCCGAGGAGGTTCCTTGTGACGAGTATAAAATACCACGTCACAACATAATGCCCCCCCAGACCCCCTAGAACATGAGCGACCCACGTCTCTCAAAAGTTTTTTATATATTTGTGCGTATGCTCTTGTGCTTCTTCCGACATTTGTCCGATATGCAACAAGGCGGTACTTATTATTTCGTGAATTAAAATTTTGTGTACTGAAGTGGGCATGTAATACCACAGGTACAATTTTACAAATTTTGCTACTACTTCCTGAAAATATCTTGTAAATTCCGGCAAATTTACTTTACAATCACTGGAAATTGCTTGCAATATAGCATAAAAGCTTCGAATTAAATCTTCATCAACGCCAGTTATTACTGAAGATGTTCAATAATTTTCAAAAAAACGTCGCGCTGTATTTCCGTCGTTGGTGTTACCAAATCCAAATTTCGGGCGGTCTACTATTAATCCCAATTGCAATTGAAAATCTTTTTGTATTAGTTGTTTACGATCTTGTACCATTTTTTTTTTCTTCGCTGCTACGAGCTTGCCACTTCTTTATTAGTAATTTATATGACAAGTGCATGCAACACTCAAAAAAGCGTATCCACGCATGTAGAGTGGACAATCCGAAACGGAGATGGTCTTTATTAATGTCTTTCTCCACCATCTTAGTAATATCGTTAAATTCTTTTGCAGTTGCTACGCATAAATAACATTGTTGTGTCGATAAGGTTGATGATAATGCGTTGCATATTTTCCCGTCGATCGTCGTTAAAAAGAGTTTATAAGAAATTGATATTTCTATCCCATCTATAGTTGTATTGAAGGAAACAAGTTGATCTATTTGTTCTTGAATACATCTTGTTTCCTTTGCAGTACTTTCTGTAGTTTCATGAAGAAACTGAATTTTTATGGGCCTATAAAAACGAGGGGATGACGGCCTTGTATTTTTCCACACAATAATTCCTTTTTCAGATATTAATTGCAGTGGAACAAATGATATTTAAAAAATGTCAGAGTCAGTTTTTCCATCAATTGTAAGTATTTGTTTATATACACTTTGATTAGAACTTTTATCACATCCCCATTTGCTGATCAAAGTGTATTTTATTTTTGATGGTTCTAAGTTTTTAATCGTGTCATTTTGAATTAATAAAATGCGTTGTGTAGTTTGATTTAATAACGCTTATAATTTAACCTTTGCACTGTGTTCTGTTATTATAATATCCACTATGGATGGATAACACCTTCGTTTAGCTTCTAATATTAATTTGTATGGCGGATATAAATTACAGTTATTTTTCTTACTTGTAGACCGCAGTCCTAAATATTGCCTCTTCGATAATTTATTTTCAATCAATAACTCTGTCCGACAAATTTAAACTTTTTTTATGTTTTGCAATACCCGTTGGGTGATCCTTGTAGAGTTTCTCGTCCTGAACAAGAATCCGAAAACCGAATTGCTCTATCACCCTCAGTTTTTGAAAAACACGAGCT